GTAGGCATGTGGAGGTCAGAGAACAGCTCTCTGGAGTCTGTTTACCACTCTTGAGGCAGTTAGACCTGAGAGAGCGGAGCCTAAAAATGAGGTGGCTAAAGTCTCATACAGTAATAGCCAACTTTATTCAGAGCATTAGACAATTTATACCCTGAGGGTTAAGAAGAGTCTTCTGAGTAAAGTTCTCAAGAGTTCAAGCTGTACCTTTTTTCCCCTGAAGTTCTGAGATGTGTGCCACCTCCTTACATGACCCCCACCCCTCCTTACGTGACCCCCCCCCCTCCTTACGTGACCCCACCCCTCCTTACATGACCCCCACCCCTCCTTATGTGACCCCCCATTCCTCCTTACGTGACCCCCACCCCTCCCTACATGACCCCCGTTCCTCCCTCTTTGTTTCGGCTGCATCCCGTGTTTTGTCTGTATAGTGCTCCTGAGTCCGAGCAAGAGCCATCAGACTTACCTCGGGAGGACTTGGAAAGTACAGATCTTGGGTCATCCCAGGCCTACTGAGTCTGTGTTCCCAAGGTAAAGTCTGGAGGGAGATCCTTAGCCGGTATGAGTACAGGTTTAGACTAGGGTGGTATGCTTGTGTGTGTGTGTGTGTGTGTGTGTGTGTGTGTGTGTGTGTGTGTGTGTGTGTGTGTGGTGTGTGTGTGAGTGAGTGAGTGCACATGTGTGTGCAGATGTTTTCCACCATGGGTTCCAGGAATCAAACTCAGGTTGTCAAGTTTGCACAGCAAACACTTAGCTGCTGAGACATCTTGCCAGCCTTAAGTTAACCATTTGTTCTTTAATTATTATTTATTAATAGATAAGAATATTAATTATTATTATTTTGAGACAGGGTCTCTCTATTTAGCTTTGACTGGCCTGGCTCACTATGTATATCAGACTGACCTCTAGCTCTCAGAGATCTGCCTCCTGAATGCTGGCATTAAAGGCATGTACCACCATACCAGGCTTAAATTTTGTGTGTGTGGTGGGGCGACCTTTGCCATGGTGTGTGTGTGCATGGAGGTCAGAAGACAGCTTTTATTATGTCACTTCTCTCTTTCCACTATGGGTTCTGGGGATCAAACTCTGGTCATCAGGCTTGTCAAGGACGTCAGAGAGGGCATCAGATTCCTGGGGCTGGAGTTCCAGGTGGCTGTAAACCACCTGGTGGCTTCTGGGAACCCAACTCAGGTCCTCTGGAGGAGTGGCAAATGCCCCTAACTGCTGAGCCATCTCCTCAGCCCTCCTTTTAACCTTTTGATTTCATTTTCATTTCATTTCTTTATGTGCTTGAGTGTTTTGTCTACGTACCTATGTGTGCTTGGTACCCACGAGGCAAGAAGAAGGATTCGGAACTGGAGTTATAGCTGGTTGTGAGCTGCCATGTGGGTTCTGAGAATCGAACCTGGATCCTCTAGAGGAGCAGCCAGTGCTCTTAACCTCTGAGCCATCCCTCCAGCCCCCTAAATTATATCTTGATAAAGCTGATTTTAAAAGGTAAAATGAGGAGAGGGGACTGGAGAGATGGCTCAGAGGTTAAGAGCACTAGCTGCTCTTCCAGAGGTCCTGAGTTCAGTTCCCGGCAACCACATGGTGGCTCACAACCATCTGTAATGAGATCTGGTGCCCTCTTCTGACATGCAGGCATACATGCAGGCAGAACACTATATACATAATAAATAAATTAATTAATTTAAAAAATGATATCATTTAGGGCTGGGGAGATTGCTCAGTGGGTAAAACACCTGCTGTGCAAACATGAGAACGCTGAGTTCAAATCCTCTCTAGTCCAGCACCTTTACAGTGAGATGGGAGGCAGTGAGAAGATCCCGATGCTCACAGGATAGCTAGCCCAGCATGTGCAATAGTGAACAGCAAGAGAGACTGTCTCAAAGTAGAAGATGGCACCTATGAACAAAATATAATTTATAATTTATAAGCCAAGCTTGGTGGCACACATCTTTAATCCCAGCACTCAGGAGGCATAGGCAGGTGGATCTCTTAAGTTCAAGACCAGTATGGTCTATATAGTGAGTTCCAGGCCAGCTAGGGATATATAGTGAGACCCTGTCTCAAAATAAAAGAAGAAAAGAAAACAGAAAAGGAAAAATCACTTACTTATTTTCACTTCAGTTTTATTTATTTGGGGCAGATGGGTACACGTACATCGTCATAGCATCCGTGTGGCGGCCAAAGGGCAGCTCACGGGATTCACTTTTCTCCTGCCATGCGGGATCCAGGGATTGAACTCAGATCATCAAACTGAACCATTTCACTGGTTCATTAAGAAAAAGATACAATTTAAAATGGATCCAACTTACCTGTATTGTTGGTTGCATTTTAGTTGACTATATTTGTAGGTTTAGTATTTGAATTCTAGTTTTAATATATTTAATTTGTGGTGTGTGTGTGTGTTGTATGTGTCTGTCTGTGTATACATATATATGCACGTAAATGGTAGGCATGTGGAGGTCAGAGAACAGCTCTCTGGAGTCTGTTTACCACTCTTGAGGCAGTTAGACCTGAGAGAGCGGAGCCTAAAAATGAGGTGGAGGAAAGTCTTATGCAATAGCCAACTTTATTCAGAGCATTAGAAAATTTATACCCTGAGGGTTAAGAAGAGTCTTCTGAGTAAAGTTCTCAAGAGTTCAAGCTGTACATAATCACAAGGACAAGCTGCAAAACATGGACAAGGCAAAAACGTGGTTTTCCATAGAGGTATATAAGAAAATAACAATAGCCAGTAGTAATGAATAATCTAAAGTCAACTCACCCTTATCTGCTACACCTGGGAGGGGCGTGAGAGCACACTGGAGTTTTCTCATAAGCACTCAGAATTCTCCCACGAATCCATTCTTAGACTCAGTTCCAACACTTTCCTGCCTCGTTGTGTGATCTGAGACATGAACTCAGGTTGTCAGGCCTGTGTACAAGTGCCCTTACCCACGGGGCCATCTCACCCGTCCTAGTCTGTTGTTTCTAAATTGGAGTCAACTATGTTGCTTGGCTCTTAATCCATATATTTTTTAAAACTGTTAATGTGGGGCTGGAGAAATGGTTCAGTCGTTAAGAATGCTGAGGGCTCCTCCAGAGGCCCTGAGTTCAAGTACCAGCACCCACAGAGTGGCTCACAATTTATAGTGCGATCTGATGCCATTCTGGTGTGTAGACATGCATGCAGGCCAAGCACCCACATACATAAAATAGATAGATAGATAGATAGATCGATCTATCTTAAAAAAATAAAGCAACAAAAAAATTAATGTAAGCCAGGGTGTGATGGCATATACCTTTAATCCCAACACCCATATGACAGAGGTAGGTGGATCTCTGAGTTTGAGGCCACATAGTGAATTCCAGGTTAGCCAGGAGTGAGACCTTGTCACCCACATATACACACACAACAAAACAAAACAAAAAAAACAACAAAACCCTATTAATGTGTGTGTATATGGTTGCTGACTGTCATTGTACCATGTCATAGTTTATAGTTAAATGTAATTTTATTTAGTTTTTTAAAAAATAATTTTATTATTTTATATGTATGGGTGTTTTGCTTGCATGTATATCTCTGCATTGTGAAATACTGTGATTTCTTTTAAAGGTATTTATTTGTGTGTGTGTGTGTGTGTGTGTGTGTGTGTGTGTGTGTGTGTGTATGTGTGTCTGCATGAATTTTATGTGCACACATGCTCCCAGGAGCCCACAGAGGTCAGAAGAAGTCACTTGGATCCCCTAAAACTGGAGTTAGAGGTAATTATGAGCCACCATGAGGATGCTGGGAACTGAACCCAGGTCATCTGCAAGAGAAGCCAGTGCTCTCAACAGCTGATCCGTCTCTTTAGCCCCAGAAAAGAACTACCTTTGTCCTAGGATGTCAGTGACTTCTGTGACCCCAGGCCTGAATGTGTGTCCCTTTGGCTCCATTTAGCTATTCTAGCAGTTAGAAAATACAGGTGGGAGTTAGGTGGCTATGAGCAGCCCCTGAATAGACTCAGCTTTGTCTGAGTCTAGATCTAGGTATATTAAGCTGCTCTCCTTGCATTTGCAGACAGTTTATGTCTCTGAGTTCCCTTTCTTGGCCTCAGAAACTAGCATGGCATTATTAACAATTCCCTTTCTTGTTGCATGCTCTTTAGTGTTGTTGTTGTTTTTCAAGACAGGGTTTCTCTGTGTAGTCCTGGCTGCCCTGGGACTCACTCTGTAGACCAGGCTAGCCTCGAATTCAGAGGTCCGCCTGCCTCTGTTTCCCAAGTGCCAGGATTAAAGGTGTGCACCATCGCCACTGCCTGGCTGAATGGTGCTTAGTATCTGCAGTCTAACATGCAAAAGCATTGGCTGATCTTGACAAGATGCATTCTTCCACAAAACCATTGCACGGCTTCAGTTCACCCACAGTTTAATGTTTGGTCCCAAACATGTATTATGCATCCCACATGGCCAGCATAGCAGGAGTCTGTGCGGTTTAGGGATGGTTTGGCAGTTTTCACCTGTGGACATTGTCTTTGCAAGTTCATATATGACATGCTCAGCATTATGATTGATTTAAAGTCTCTTTGTTCCCTCACATGCCTTAGCCCTATCCTCTCACCGAATCTGTAGGTAGCAGGGCTGCCTCAGGCTCTACCCTTGTTCTGTGGCTTCGGTGTCTGGTTGGGGTCCCCTTGAACAGCACTTTGAGCCTTTTTCCTTGGCTGCCCAGTGTGTAATGTCATTTCGGATTTTGGTAAGTTTGGAGACAAAAAAATGTGTTCAAGAGAGTCTCAGCTGATGTTAAGAGCCTTAGCCAGGTGGACAGATTGTGTTCCTGATAGTCACAGGGACCCATTCTCAGCATTTTTGTTTGTTTTCCTTTGCTTGTTTTGTTACTGTTTTTGAGACAGGGTCTCATGTAACCCAGGCCGGCCTCAAGCTCACTGTACTGTTGAAGATAAACTTCATCCTTGATCCACCTGCCTCCACCTCCAGAGTGCTGGAGTACAGGCTTGCACTGCCTCACCTGGTTTTTAAAGGGTTGCTGGGAATTGAACTCAGGGCTCTATGCATGCTAGACAATCTACGCCTCTTTTCTGTTCTTGTTGGTTGTCGTCTTGAGGCGGGGTCTCATTCTTAGCCCGGTCTGGCCTGGAACTCACAGTGAATCCCGGTAGCATTCTTCCTGTCTCAGCCTCCAGAGTTCTGGAATTACAGGTCCAAGCCACCACATTCTGTCCAGAGATACTGTTTTCACAGCAACTGTAGCTTCTCCTTTCATCAACTGGTCTGTCTATCACATATTTAAGTCTCTGAACCAAAATTACTTTTTCTTTCTTTCAGCCGCAGTTTTCGATTGGGGCAGACCATGGCTACCGAGCTCTTGTTAGATAGACAGCATGGCCCATAAAGTGGGTACTGCTGAGTCGTACCCGATGTGATCTCTCCCTGCAGGAGTCCTTTGGGAGCTCCCTTGGCTACCACAGCTGCAGCAAGAAGGCACTGGTCTTCCTCTTCAAGTTCCTGTCTGACCTGGTGCCCTGGGAGCCCGCTCGGTACATGCAGGTAAGGAGCCAACAGCCGCATCCTGAGGCTTTCTGCTCATGGTGTGCTATCTGGAAGATCACACTGAGCCAGGACTGGTCTCTGCCCTTCGACAGACAGTTCAGGTGTGCAGGGAACCAGCACAGGCACCTAGTAGCACCCACACATCCTCCTCAGGAGAAGAGAATGTATTCTCTCAGTGTGCGATGAAGTGCCTCCGCATAGGCTCTCTGAAGGACGAGCCGGTCCAGGTGGGGTCTAGAAAGATAGAATGGAGGAAATGGGTATAGGAGGGTCTATTTTTTGCTTTAATAAAATGATATGGTTTTATGATATTCAAATTTCTGGGTCCTGGAGAGATGGCTCGCAGTTAAGAACACTCACTGTCCTTCCAGAGGGCCTGGGTTCAGTTCTAGCACCCACATAGCTGCTCACAACTGGCTGTAACTCCAGTTCCTAGGGGATCTAATGCTGTGTTCTGGCTTTTGCAGGCACCAGACATACACATGATGGGCTAACATACATGCAGACAAAACACCCATACATACTAAGTTTACTTAAAAAACAACAACAAAAAACTAGATAGAGATATCTCCAAACTTATAATGATCATTTCTTCCAGATTTTTTGTTTTGTTTTCTTTTATTAAAAAGGCTTTATGTAAGTCTACTGTTGGAATATTTGTAACAAGTTGTGGTATGGTACACTATAATCCCAGCATTTGGGAGGCAGAAGTAGGGTCACTGTAAGTTTGAGGGAGGTTTGTTCAACTGAGGTTCTGGGACAGCCAGGACTACTTCGTGAGACACTGTCTCAAAACAAGAAGACAGACAATTCTTGGAGGCAGGACAGTGGCACAGTCCGGTGGTCCCAGCATTTGGGAGGCCAAGGCAGGAGGGTTGTAAGTTCTAAGCGAAGCCAGTCAGGGACACACAGCAAGACCCTGTCTCAAACTCCCAAAAAGTCTGAAGCTGAGCACAGTCTTAGCATAGTCTTAGCTACTCAAGAGCCTGGGCATGAGACTACAGGCGCCCAGGAGTTCAAATCCTTCTTGAGGAACAGTGAAACACTGTCTCAAAGGAGAAAGAAAGGAAGGAAGGCTTGGCAGTATGATTTTTCCTTTTATCAGCTAGCCCCATCCCCCCACTTATTTGGGGGCTGGGGACCTGAAGCTCTCATGCTGTTTTTATTAGAAAGTTTGATTTACATTCCAAACTGAACGGGGATATGTGAGCAAAGGGAATAACAGACTCCAGTCACCACGGGGACTAGAACTGAACCTGTCCGCTTGCCCCAAGCCTGGACCCCTGTCTTTCTTATGCACTGTTGTTTGTGGTCAAGCTTTAAGACTGGCAGGTGCAGGATAGGTAATTGATCTGTGACCATCACCACCACCGCCCTGCGACACACACACAGCAGCTGTTGAAGTATCCTGTCCTGAGCTTCTCCGAGTGTCTCGGCCTCCAGCCCTGAGAAGTGACGAGGGTGGACCCTGAGAACCTCTCCTTTCTCTCTGACTCTGACTCACACTCGGAGACAAGAGGAATGTGAGGTCGTTTGTGCAGGCCCGCAGGCAAATTCTACCCATGTTTCCTGTTCTTTGACAAATTTCTGCCTTCCTGCCCTTTGAACTTGCATTTACGGCAGTCTGGCTCTCCCTGGACTCACTGTTCCTTAAACTGGGCACCCGTGGTCAGTTTTCTGTAAATTCAGCCACAGATCTGAAGCAGGTCCTCTAATCACAGACCTGGACTCAGTCTGGACCCTGACAGGCTGTGCAGGTGCTGGGTCTTGTGTCTCTAGACAATAGAGTCTCCAGAGCCCGGGTGTGGAGCTGCTGCTTCCTACCCTGCTTCCCTCCCACTCAAAGAACCAGCCACACAGTACAGTTTTCTTAATTTTCTCCCTGGAAGGAAGGGCAGCCTTCTCTTGTAGGTTTGAGACAGAGTATCACTGTACACCTCTAGCTAGCCTGGAACCTGCTAGGTAGACCAGGCTAGCCTGGAACTTGTCCTGATCTTTGCTACTGCTTCCTGAGTGCTGGGATCACAGGTGTGCATCATCACCACGCTCAACTATTGTTCAAAAGTTACGTGTGTCGTGCCTGCTAGTGGCCATCTCTTATAGTCACTGTCCTCACTGCCGTGGGCTGCTAATGTCCCGGTGAAGAGCGCCGTGGTATCCTGTGGCTGACATTGCTGTACTGTGTTTTCTTGTAGGTCCATATTTTCCACCCCCCACTGGTCCCAAGCAAGTACCACTCCCTCCTCACAGACTACATCTCGTTGGCCAAGACAAGGCTTGCTGACCTCAAGGCAAGTCTGACCACTGCTCAAGCCCTGCCTGGCAGTACCCATTTCCTGTCTCTGTATTCACGTGTTTGTTTTTCCCCTCTGAAGGTTTCTCTGGAGAACGTGGGACTCTATGAGAACCTGTCCTCCTCTGGGGACATCACTGAGGTAATGTGTATCAGGCTTTTTTTCTTAGGCCACCAACCAGCTTCCAAATCATGACCCAGAGACTTACTAGTTTTGAATGCTCGGCCTAGCTTAGGCTTGTTTCTGACTAGCTCTTTTAACTTAAATTAACCTGTTTCTCTTTATCTCCCTTTTGACTCGGGACTTTTTACTTTTCTTTCCTTCTGTATATCTTACTTTTCCTGCTCTTTGTGTCTGCTGGCCGGAGTCTGCCTGACTGGCCTCGGGCATCTCCCTCATCCTCCTCTCTCTTTCCCGTCTCTCTTATTCCCTTCGAGCCTAGATTTCTCCTCCTGTTTATTCTCTCTGCCCACCAGCCCCACCTGTTCTTCGTCAGCCCAGCTATTGGCCGTTCAGCTCTAAGCTCTAAGCCAGGTGCCTTAGACAGGCAAGGTGAAATAAATGCAACACATCTTTACATAACTAAACAAATGCAGCGTAAACAAATGTAACACACCTTTGCACAGCTAAAGCAATATTCCACAGCATAAACACATTTAACATACCTTTGCCCAGTTAAAATAACATTCCACAACAATGATGAGCACTGCTTTTGGTCGACCACAGTCTTGGTTCGCTTCTCTTTTGACTTGAGTCCTTTGGCTCTCAGAATCCTCTGCTTAGTTCCTCTCCAGTGAAGCTAGGTCACCTGTTTTCCTGAAAGTGATTTGCCTGTAGTGTCCCTTAGAGTCTTTGTACGACAACACTCACCAAGCAGAGTGGCCATTTTCAAAGACAGGCCAGTGCCACAGTGGACTCCCCTTAGGATTTTTTAGTTTACGTGTTTTTTCATTGATTTTATTTATCTAATTTTTACTATGCTTTTTTGTGTGTACATGCACATGGTGTGGTACATGTGCAGAAGTTAGAGGATAACTTGAGGGAATTAGCTCTCTCTTTTCACCTTGTAGGTCCCAAAGATTGAACTTAGGTCGGCAGCTTGGTGGCAAGCACCTTTACCTATTGGACCATCTTGCTGGCCCATTTTTATTTTATTTTATTTTATTTTTTTCGAGACAGGGTTTCTCTGTGTAGCTTTGGTTCCTGTCCTGGATCTCGATCTGTAGACCAGGCTGGCCTCGAACTCACAGAGATCCACCTGGCTCTGCCTCCTGAGTGCCGGGATTAAAGGTGTGTGCCATCACCGCCCGGCCCATTTTTATTTTTTATAATGTGTCAGAGGGATGAGGTATGCAGAGCATGTGTGGAGGTCAGAGGGCAACCTGTGGAGTGTTTTCTCCTTTGTGAGAGCCCAGGGGCTCTAATTCAGGTTTCCCAGGCTTTCATGGCAGGCGTTATCCCGGAGACATTTGCCTCTCTCTGTTTCTCCCATCCCCATTTTCTTTGTGACAAGCTCCTGTAGCTCAGGCTGTCTGTAAACTCTTCGGCCTCCTGTGCACTTGGATTACAGACATTTGCCACCACTGCTAGCTCTGACAGTTCATGATTGTTTTGAAATCTCAAAGCTCAGTCTCTATTCTGACCCACCTGGAAGCCTTCCGTCTTCTCCTGGAAGAGCGGCAGAGAGGAGAGGTGGAGAAATGAGCAGTTAGGAGAAGGCACTGGATTTGGGAGCTGAGCTGACCTAGGGCCCATGTGAGTCCAGAAAGCAGGACCTGGGGGATTTGTGACTCTCCCAGGTTGTGCAGGGCCCATCTCACCTGTCACCTCTCACACATCCAGAAACTCAGGGCAGCAAGGACAGCAGGTGCCTGCCAGGTTTCTAGGCTGGCTTACTCGCTTTCAAGTCTTCCTTCTTTCTCTCTCCCTCCCTGTGCCGAGCCAGCCTCAGAGCCAAGCGATGCAGGATGTCGAGAAGGCGGTCGTGGTGTTTGAACAAACAGGGAAAGTCCCGATGGCTGTCATGGAGGCCAGGTAGGAAGAGGCTGCTGTAG